GGGCAGAACCGTGCACTTTTTGACCTTGTATAAGAAGTGAAACTTCTTTTCATCTCATAAAAGGAATTTTTAATGCAGGTCCTCAGGTTGATAAGACTTCCTTAGTGTAAATGCCTTCACATTTTTCCTGTCTGGCTGCTTCTAACAGTCTTCTTTTTTGCCCATTAAGTTTTGCATGATTGGATGGAAACATTGAGTTGTATCGAGTCACGTCTCTTTTCTCCTGTTAAGTGAGCTATAAGTTCAATATTCAGAGTCTATATTCTGTTGTGCACGTAGATGAGTTTTATATCTACTGCTGCTGCACTTATTTCATGCTCATGGTGCAAAGTTCCCCATCTCCCCTTTCCTTTCTGCTTTCTCAATCTCTGTAATCAAACGCATTAATATCAATATTGCATGAGGAAACGAGCAGAATTTAAAGCTTGACCATGTCAAAGTGAGAGTCCCTGATAGCTGGTGACTGCCATCACTCAGTGGAAATTGTGGCTGTAATTACTGGAGCCTTGCATTTGGTTAATATCTAGAGTGGAAGACATTTTTCACGGGGTTAAAAGTTTGATATGGGGAAATAGATTCATGACCAATCAATCTAAACTTTAAAAAATACATTCAGTCACATTAATCTACAGATGAAGAGTGCTTTCTCATTATCCATTTCATACTTGATTAATCTCCTTTTGTTTAACTCTGTTCTTATAGTGAATGTGGCAACGCTAATGTTGCATTTTAGCACCTTAGCCTGAGGAATGCGTCTGACTTGCTTTTCACTCAATGATTAAACTCTGTAGCTGCAGTTTGATAGATTGCTGCTTAGAAAATTATAAAAAAATGTCCTATAACTCCAGCCAGCCTTTAGTTTTTTTGTTTTTTTTTAAGTCAGTTACTTAAAGATGTTTTGCAGTTATGAGCAATTTCATTTATTTAATGGCTTTTCTGATTTTGTGATGCAACACTGTCCATTTTCAGGTTGCGGTGGGATTTCAAGTGATTTTTTGATTGTCTTGGCTATCATAAAGCAACCTATCGCTATTGGATTATCTGTAAAAAGGAAAGCTGTCTTCCCAGTGAAGCTGTAATCTGTATAGGTTGAGTGTTAGTTGTTTGCCTGAGATAAATGCGGCAGCAGATCAGTTTTTGTCAGGGTTTACCAGAATGCCAAATACCTATAATGCTCTACCACATTCAATAGAAACGTTGATCCTAAGCCTATAACTCCATCTGTTGTAACTCTACCAGCTTTCTGTTATTGAGGTGATTGATATTTACAATTTTATTTTGGGGGTTTTAAGGTTCTTAATGGTCTGACCCGTCCTTACCAGATCATTTACACCATGAACCTTCAGCTACGGAGTGTAACATTCAGACAAGCAAATGCTTTTAAAGGTTTCAAGATCAAAATGATGGTTATCACTTTTATTTATATAGAATGGTCTTCCTTTCTATATAAAAACTGCCAAGAGCTTCCAGACTTTTAGAGTGCTTTCAAGGAGTCTCTCTCTCTGTCTGTCTATCTCTCTATTACTTTCTCTATTGCTCTCTTTGCATTAGCTGCTCACTTGGTATACATTTGTTCATACCAGATCAACCAAAACAGACTTAAGGTGGATGCCTGTACAGGTTATTTTAATTTCAGTCTAACTGAATATGTGCTGCATATTTTTTTTCTGGGCCAATTTTTTACATTTTTATTCCTCCATTTATATGATATAGTTACATAATAATAAATGCTATACATGACTTAATTTAAACAAAAAAAGAAACATTTCTTATCAATTCAAACATCCCAATAACAATGGATAACAAATGGATGTAGCCGCAATGAATGTGCTTAAGCTGATCTCTAGGCATGGATTCTAAATTCAGCATTAAATCAGCATAAACACATGCATCTATCAGCCGATACTGATACAAAAAAAAAAACAACAATGATTGTTTACACTATATCAGCTCAAAATATCGCTTGGTCAATGTATCGGTCTACCTCTAGTTCATACTTGTAATTTCTGTTGCTTCTAAATTATCTAAAAACTGCTTCAGTGACAATTAAAGTTTATAAATATAGAGATTGGGCTGAAGATCACCCCATAATTAAACAGTCATTTCCTTTCTTTTTAAATTGTTTTTAATTCGGATATTTCAAGAGGATGCAATAGAGCTTTAATTATAGCACCATAAAAATCTTTTATTTTTGCTTAAGGTTATTGTGCTATGAAAACCATACTGGCCCATGCTTACATACAAGAAGCTCAAAGAAATTGAAGTTCTACTTTGCTTTTGATAGCTGTTATTTGTAAAATCTCAACATAGATACAATATAACCTAAACATTTTTCACCCAATCTCTGTTCTTTGTCTTCTGTTTAGATTTCAGAGAAGGAAAGCATCTTTGAGCATTGTATGCTCAAAGCAGGGTTAAACTACAGCCCACACATGGCCTTAGGTTATGAATGTTGAGGCTGCTAAACAACAATAGTTGTAATTGTGTTGCACAGTTTATATAGCAACCACAGGTGAGAATGGCCCTGCCCTGAGGGGGAGACTATAAATCATAACCTTGGCATCTTGTGAGCAAAGATGTAGTAATTCCCTACAGGCATACACAATTCCCTCTACCTACAGCAGTGTTTGCAGGCAGAACAATAGGGGCATCATTTCGTAAGACCCTTAGACGGTTTGATACTCCCGTATTCTCTTTATGAATGTTTCTGTGCTATCCTCCAGTGACATCACCTGCACTCCAGGCGAAGAAACAGAAAAGCAAAACACAGAAAAGAGCCCACACATGTTGGTCGTGTGTGTAGTATTGTAAGTGAAAGATGAGCAGAGCTTCTGAATAACACCCACTCCTTGTTGGCATGATTTGCCTTAAAAGATCTATTGTTGTTTTTCTTTGTCCCCCATTGCAGTTTTACAAGTGCACCCATGTCTTGTGTTATCAAGTTGCTCTGTTTAGATTGCATATGTGAAAAGAGAGTGCTTGGAGGTGAATGGAGTTTCTGCTGTTGTTTGGTCTCACTGTATGTTTTGTGGTTTCATCTTCAGTGTGCCTGCAGCTGCATGCTGCTTTGTATTTGTGCAGGTTAAATAGAGGGTGGGTCATAAGCTGTGAAGGTGGGTGGGTTGGGCACTTTCATGCTTGCTGTCTGAGGTGTTTGGTTGCACTGTGATTTAGATCAGGTTTTCTGCTATTTGGAAGAACCCCCTCAAAAAATTAAGATAAAAAAAATAAAGGTCAGAAAAAAAACAGCTACAATATTTTCATAAAGTTTTTTGTCCATTTATGATCTTTAACCTTATCGAAGATATTAAGTATATTCATTAAATTCCTGAAAAATGTTGGATTCTGGCTAAGTGAATTCTTCAACATTCTATTCTAGATCAGTGTGGCTGCAAGCGATGCAAATACTAAATGTTAACAGTTTCTTTGTTTCTTTGTGTTTCCTTACTGTTATCTGCTAAAAGTCTTGTTCTCTCTCACAGCTCAAATAAGTTTTATTTTAAACTGTTTCTCACACATTTTGCACTTCTGATTTCATTTTGAACTTCATAAAATTTTAGTCTTTGTAGCAACTTCTCACCAAAGAGTGTTGAGGTTTGTGATTGGGTAGGACCATATAGGGGCGGAACAAATCATTTGTTTGCAAGCTTCCAGTTGTTAGCCTTTTATGGTCTCCGTTCCATGTCCGAGTTCTTGTAAAAAGTCAAAAGTAAATTGTGCTTCTGATAACTGTGTGATATATTTGTCATTTTTACCGTTTGTATCCTATTATCGAAGAGTTTTTTTGTTAATTACCCGCCTTTAATGGGGACTTTGAAATTGACAAAGTGATGTTAACATTTATGCCGATTTACAGCAAAGCTCAACCAATGTTATACATGTTCCAAACCACACCAAGTAAAATGCAGTCAGAGAAAATATAACTGTCTTGTTGGTTAAGATGTTTCAACCCGCACTGACAAAACAGCAGCTTTACCCACTGGGTTGTCATTGTATAAATTGCACATTACTTTTTTATACTAAAGCTCTGTACCACTCCATGTGCAAAAAAGCATTTCTTCCTGAGAGTCAGCCTCACTCTTCATTGAGTCACAGTTGACGAGTACCACTCTGGTACTCTTCATCCTGTGTGCAGCTACAATGCTAAAAGAGACTTTCCTACTTTAGTCATTAATAGCATATAGCATTTTTATAAATCGTCCCCCATACAGCATCTTTAAAAGTGTCTAATATTCTTTTAACGGGATCTCGTAGAACTAAATGAAATCATTTGTCATTAAAGGGTTTACATAACTAATAGGTTGCCCTGTGATGCGTCAGCCATATCAACGCGAAAACTCTTTGGGGAGGTTTTGACCCCAATTCTCATTTGTATTGAGAGATTTTTGGCATTTTGACCAAAGCAGATAGACTTTGCCTGGAATATTACTAAATACTTGTGTGATTGGATAAGCACATATTGACAGGATCGGGTAATTAAAACTGTGAAAAAGACAGGACAATGAATGACCTGCTGATAAAAGAAGACACTTGTTGGAAAATGTAAAGGTCAAAGGTTTGTGTAATGTGCCATTTTTGCTTACTGTGTCACTGACATCTTTTGACCTCACTACCAATTATCTGTCAGTAACATTGAAGGGCTGGGACCAGCGTTTCACATTGTTATGTTCTGTTGGTACGAGTTCTCTCAGGTCAAACTTGTATTTTTAACTCAAATAGCTTGAGTGAAATAGTCTTTAGATGTTACAGAATTATGCATATTGCTAAGCAAACGGTTTCAGCTTGTTGTTCCAAGAGTTCAATACTTCTAGATTTCTTAATGAAATGCTCCTGACATATTTTGATGGGAAGACAGTGGGGTTTCTGTATTATAAATTTCATATAGAAATGAAACTTCTTTTTAAACCTCAGTTCTAGAACCTACGTTAATCATAACTTGGGGTTCACGCTCCATTTATTGGTTGAAGTTTGACTAACTGTCTTTCCGTTTCTTTTTCTAGAGTGCCAAGCAGTTCTGCACAAAGACCTCAAACTTCCCTGCTCAGTTGGGGCTTCGGCTCCCTGGCCAGGTCATTAATTCATCCCACCCTGCATCCCTCAGCCCCATATCCCCCACCGTAGCTGCCGCCAAGATGGCCACCAGTGGTGCTCCTCGTCTCTCCTTGCCAATGTTACTTCATGTGACCATTCTGCTGCTATCTCTGCTGCTCACCTGCTCTCAAGCCTCATGTGAGTATGAGATTCAAGTATTTTACTTTTGTTTGCCTGGTATGCTGTTTGCAATGACTACCATTCTACTGCATTAGTGGTTAGAAAAAGAAGGACTGAAGTAAATGCAAGCATATTTGTGAGATAAATGTATAAGATTTGCTATGGTGAAAAACACAAAGTTTGTTTTCATGGGCAGATCTATATTATGTGTTTCTATAAGAGCAGAAAAGTAAAGCAATGTTTTTACAAGACGTGAAAAAATTTCAAATTCAACTGTATTTGGATATGAGGGTGACGGTTCCCAATTAGGACTATTTATCTTGCAATCCAAAAAACGTGGGATTGATTCTAGCTTCCTGTGGAACAATGTGTTGTGCGTCGTTAGTATGACTAGAAAACTGCAGTGTAAATTAACTCCACTGTTAAGGAAAACTATATTTGCTTAATTAGGTTGACCAAAAACAGCAGAGAACAACAGGTTATCTGTATGTATGACATCAGAAAATTATGGACAAATCTTTTTTTAACTACTCCCAATCAAAAATCTGATGCATAACAAAAATCAAAAGCTAGTATAATATGAACTTGTAGAGTGAAAAACTCTCCCAAGGTTAAAAGAAACCAGAAATGGTTAGAATGAAAGATGCAATTAAGTCAATTTCAAAAGTGAAGAGAGTATCCTTCAGTGTTCTTCAAGAGACTCAAGTGTGGCATCAGCCAGCTGTCAACTTGTGCCAGAAAACGTTTGTTCTCTCCTTTGCTCCATGGTAAAGTACTTCAGCACTGTGTGAGTGGCCATTGTTCTGCATCACCAGTACCCTAAGTAACAAATAGCTTTGGCACATATAAATTAAAAGTACATTGCAAAACAACTGTGAAAATAAATAGAATAATTCAAACTAAATGTTGACAGGATGGTAAAGTAATACTGTCTGTTTTAATTTCCATTTCATTTTGTTATGAGTTTGTCTCATCCCCATTTCCTTATTCCAGGATTGAATTAATTTAGTTACGAAACAAAAGATATTATTAGAAGAGGCATAATTCCCTAATGCATAGTTCTTTTCATAGACACCTTTTTCACAAAGGTTGCTTTGTGTTTTCATTATACAACTGGCCCATAGTGTGTACCCTGTTAGCATATGGTCATTAAATTAATATTCTATTCTCCTAGAAGCTAAGAATTGCAATTAAAGGACTTTATCTATGTTCGCTTCAGAAAAAGAAAGTAACTGCACCACACAGTATGATGAGGTCAGTAGTAGGGGTGTAAATCACACCCATCATGGCGATTCGATTCAGTATCGATTTCCTGACCCAACGATTCGATTATTTTAGATACTCAAGAATACACCACGATACGATTTGATTCATTGGTTCATTTTTTTTTACACCTTACAGGCTAGAAAATGTTTAAAAATTGAAATAAATCAGTGAAAGCTGTAATATCGTTATGCATTTTTTTTTAGAAACAACAGCAAATAACAGAAGTAGAAAAGTTGTACTCCACCTATTCCTATTAAAACCTTATTCAATGAAAAATAATAATGCCCCTGCGTTATAGATTCTTAGAGGCTTTGCATCAAAAAATACTGCACAAAATCAGTGCAATGAGTCCAATTTAATACCTCGGCTCCATACGTCCGCTCCCCCTCCACAGACGCTCCGCTGTCACTCTCCCAAATTGTAGCGGACCGCAGACAGTGCCGCAGACAGGAGGCCGGCTTGTTTTGTTTTTATAACCGAAATTGCGGAAAACAACTCATGAAGTTGGGCCCGCTTGAAGAGCGAGTTGCGCGAGAACGCTGGGACTCTTTTTCCACCTGGATCTCCACTCTTTTTGGTCGTCATGTCCCTCCGTCGTCGGACTAAACTCGCCTCCGCTTCCTCACCGTCTTGGCCGTATCTAGAGCATAAATCAAAAATGTCTGTTTCAAACTTACTGCAACACACTGCTGTAAGAGTATAACCAGGAAGCGAGGTAGGAGGGCAAAATAGGTTTAGCGCCACCGCAGCAGGGGAGTGAGAATTACGTCCAGGAGCAAATGGATAAAAATAGACCGGAGGAGAAAAAAAAACATGCATCGATACTCTTGCGGACGTATTGATGCATCAGATTGTTGGCTGTTGGATCGATGCATCGATACAAAACGATTATTTTTTACACCCCTAGTCAGTAGCATGATCACAGTGACGTCTGTATCTATATTGTAGAGGTCGACTCAGAATATTTTGTTGTATCTTAAATACAATTTAAAATCGTCTATCGATGAGTAAAAATCAGAGGCATTAACCGTAAATTGAATTCAACACTGTGAATTCATACTGAACATTTTTAGTAAAGCCCTTTTATCTAACAAATACAGCATAGTTTTAAAGCTCCATACATGCTGAATGCAAAGTTTACTGCACAAATGTTAAGACATACAAACCAATTTGGTTCGTTAAGATGAGCAGATCAGGTTTTCTGTGGGCCGTTTGACAGTGGCTATAAAAATACGACAAGTTTTGAATCCAGTGGAGGTAATATTAATAATTTTTAACATATTATTGTTATTCATAATTACTATCATTGCCTATCTTAAAGTGCTGCAAACAAAATTAAAATAAAATAAAAGATAGCCATTTTTCATGAGTTGTTTTATTATGCAAAGAGATGTACACTTTCATGGACTCTTTGCAGGCTCTTTTGATACTCTGTTTTTTTTTTTTTTTTTGTTATTAACACACCATGGTTTAATTATTATTATTTTTTTATGATGGTTTAATATATAGACATGCACACAGAATATTTTTCCATCCTCTGTCATTGTACCAATGCCTCTTATGGGGGAAAAATGACAGCAGATATTTTGTCAGTTTGCATTGAATTTTACAAAGTATTCAAAAAGATACCAAAGCTGCACCACAGTTGCCTTTCCCATTTGAAAAATTGCTTTGCACATGGTACATCTTCACATTTGCATATCCTCCACCCTTAAGTTTGCACAGTTTGGTCATTAGAATATGATCTGCATATTGATGAAGGCACACAAGCAAAAAATGGTTTGAACACACTGTGTGCTGAATTACAAATGCAAATCACTTTGCACCTGCTTTGCAGAAATGCTCTGTGTGCACAAAAACTTTTGCACCTGTTTTAAAACATGCAGACCTTCTGAAGATCAGGCCCTAATACTTGAAAGGATAATTCTGCTTTGAACTTATATGTTCATATCCTCTTTACACCTCTAGTCACCATTTAAAGGACTGTAGTATTAGAGAATTTGGGTTAAAAAATTATTATTTGGAATATCCCCTCTGCAAATGATGTGTCATTTCACAGACTTATCCTCCCTAACTTCTCATGTTTGTAACAAGGATGCATCAGTAGTCTTTTATCCCATCCTGTCAACTCATGCTTAGGATTTGTTCTGCACCATTTCCCTGTTAAGATGAGCTCAGAGCAGCATTAAGGAGACAAAACAAAGATGAGACTCCACAGAGAAATAGAAAAAACATGGAGGTTCCCCTTGGGTTTCATTGTTTGTAAATCCAACATGACTACATGGGTTAGTGAGCCATTGAGTAAACTATACATATATATATATATATATATATATATATATATATATATATATATATATATATATATATATATATATATATAAGTGAGAGAGAAGGGTATTGATATCTATGTGTTTGTCTTCATCTCAAGATGTGATGCCTTTATGTTTGTAGATGTAATTTGTGAGATAAATTGTTTTTTTTAACCTTTAACGCTTCAGCAGTATTTTTCTTCATCTCAGTTTTGACATTCTGTTTTTTCTCAGGGGTTTATGATAACATGAAGACCACTTGATTTTTTTTCCCCATCATGTTCTGACAGAGATGTCTGCCTTTGATTCCCTGGCAGGTTGAGTAGCAAAACTGAAGGGTTTTCCTTCCCATACAGCTCAAGGAAATCTCAAATTATAGACAAGCAGATGTCAAATAGATGTTTTTGATGTATCGAAGGCTGCTGAACATCATTTTGTTTGAATTCTTATAGTGTACAACATTCTAAGGCAACTAACCTTTTCAGCTCGTGGATATGTTTGTGAAATGTCAGGAATACAGTGTTCTTTTCAACATTGTTTTACTCAAACACCTGCGCACGCTTCCATATATCTGCATATTTTTTTTGTGTTTTTTTTCTTTTCTATTCAAGCAATACACACTCACACATATTTCCTCTCTTCAAACTTTTCGGTCATATCATTATGTTGGGAAATATACTCACAAATGCTAGCAAAACCTTCCTTTGCCTGTTTGGATTCACTCCACAGGCACAAACGCACTACTCCCCCCCGCACAGTAGAGCACTTGTCCAATTGTGTTCACTCCCACTCTGTGGAGTGAAAGGATGCCACCGTTTTGCAGAAAAGCCGTCTAAAAGCATGATGTCATTCCTTACCCCCACGTTCCTCCCTCCCACTTTATCTCTCTTGACTCTCTCTCTCTCTGCCCTCCGTTCCCTTTTTTTATTTACGCTCATAAATCACAATGAGAAGGAGACGTTTTTAATCAAAAGAGAAAGAAATATGGCTCAATAAATCCTGCCTTCTCAACTATATTAATGCCTAGCTTGTGTTCAAGTCTATATTTATCTGCATGTTTGCATACATCTGTATTCAGGACCACATGTGTATTTATGTGCCTCTGCATGTGTGTGTATGTGGGCAAATACTAAAAGATACTTATGTGGCCTGTCACCTCCGCTTTGTCAAGGGTTCACTCCAATATATTGATCGGGTTACAGACTTTCAGTGTTGGTTGGGATGCTGCTATAAAATTACATGGCAGTCTGATGCATTCTTGTTACAAGTAAAGTCAAATTTTATCCATGCGATCAGTGCATGCTCACTGGCCATTTATTAGGTACACATCCCTAGTTCTTAAATTGCGTTAGCTTTGTGATTTGGTGCACTATACCTCTGGAGCAGCAATCTGAAGGCAGGGTACTGTGGTTAGCAGCACTACTCAGGTGGACTGGGCTA